CTGCGTCACTCACAGACACTGCATTGTCCCCACCCATGACTATCCCGTACACCACCAGATATTGCCTGGCCAGCCTCCACCGCGTGCTGCTAGTGTTGATGAGCAGACCGTCTCTCTCGCCATGCGGTTTCTGAGTACGCCTGGAGAGGAAGCTGTCGACGAGCAGCCAGAGGAGGCATGCTGAAGCAAAGTATACGAGCTGAAGCTCATAGAAGGATGGCATAAGGAACGACGAAGTGAGAGACAAGATGAAAGAATGACATATTGCCTAGCAACTCTCAGGCTTTATAGCCTGGCGCGTGTTGTAGTTCCATGATTTCAGCCAGGCACTCGCGCCCCGCCCCCATTTCTCAAGCGCCCGAAAGTGCGGCGTCTATTAAGATCACCGACGTTCTGCAGATTGCCAGCGGGATTGTCTCCAACCGTGCAAGCGGAAGCGAAGCAGCTCGTTGCGCGTCCGAGTGACCTCTCCTGTCCCCACTGCCCCAGCAGCGCTGAATCACGGATAGACTGGAATATAAAGTCTGTGCTCGGCTCCTGATCTTGACTCTGACCTTCCTCCATCCAGCATGACGCGTCTCGAGTACACGAACATCGACAATGTTCCCAAGGTGCGTCGCGCCTTCAGTGTGCGCGAGAGCAGCTGCCGACCTCCCCATAGATCCACGCGGAACTCAAGGAGACGTTCCGCAGTGGCAAGACTCGCCCCGTCCCCTTTCGCAAGGAGCAGCTGGCGCAGCTAGCATGGCTGCTCAAAGACAACACCGACCGCATCGCCGACGCCATCCACACTGACCTTGGCAGACCTGCCATCGAGTCCGACCTGTAAGCCTCTCGCAGCACTCGACGGCTTGCACACACTGAACAAAGCATGCAGGCTCGATATAAACCCCAGCATTGGCGAGGCCAAGGACGCGTACGACAACGTGGCCAAGTGGGCCAAGACCGAAAAGGCGTACGTACCAGCTATCCGCACGGAAACTCTCGCCACTGATCCTGCTCGCAGTCGCTGGACCTTCAACTTTTTTGCCATGCGCCCAAAGATACGCAAGGAGCCCAAGGGCGTCGTGCTCATCATTTCCCCCTTCAACTTCCCCGTTCTGCTTCTGCTCGGCCATCTCGTATGTGCTTCCTCTGTATGCGTTGCTCCGCTTCCAGTTTGCTAATCACACTCGACACGCTACGCTCTGCAGGCCAGTGCGCTGGCCGCTGGCAACACGGTTGTGCTCAAGCCCTCAGAGCTAGTCCCTGCGACTAGCCAGCTGATCTCGGACCTCATATCCCAATACATGGACCCTGGCGTCGTTCGGGTCGTCAACGGAGATGTGTCTGTCACTACAAAGGTGTGAGCTGTGTCCTTCCTGGACGTTCTCCCCTAACAGCCGCCCAGCTGCTTGAACTCCCTTGGGATCATAGTGAGTCCACATTTATTCGCGGCTTCCACTGCATGCTCAACAGGGGCCGTTCTAGTTCTGTATACAGGTCGGTGCACAGCATGACGCGGCATGTGGCAAAGGACACTAAGCCATTACACAGGTAGTTCACGCGTCGCAAAGATTATTTGCACCGCTGCGGCAAAGCACCTAACTCCTGTCACGACTGAGGTAAGCAATCTCCCGTGTCCCCTGTCCCTTCCCCAAGTGACCCCTCCAACTTTTCGCCCCAAATCAAATCAAGCTCGGAGGTGAGTCATGGCCATTTTGTAAGCTCGAGGTGACTGATTGACGTCTGCAGGCAAGTCGCCCGTGATTATCGACCCGAAATGCGACATGAAGCTCGCGGCGCGGCGCATACTCTGGGGCAAGATCGCGAACGCGGGCCAGGTACGCGTCTCGCCCCAAGAAAATTCGCGGTGTCGCTGACCAAATCTGGTTAGACGTGTGTAGCGCCCGACTACGTGCTCGTTCCTCGCGAGGCGCAGGACGCGCTAGTGAACGAGCTAATGGAAGTGTGAGTCTCCGCCGTCCGACTGCGGCCTGTGCTCGTGCTGACGAACGATGTTGCGTAGCTACCAGACTTTCTACCCAGAGGGGGATCCCGCCACGTCCGCCTCCTTCTCCCGCATCGTCTCGCAGGCGCACACGACGCGCATCAAGCGGCTCATCGACGGCACGAAGGGCACCGTCGTCGTCGGTGGCACGGTCGACGTCGAGAAGCGCTACATCGCGCCGACGATCATCCGAGACGTGCCTGTGGACGACTCGACGATGGACGAGTGAGCCGCCGGCTGTCAGTTCTCCCGGCCCTGCGTTTCGCTGATGCGTGTGCCGCAGAGAGATCTTTGGCCCCGTGCTGCCGATCGTACCTGTCAGGGACGTCGAGGAGGCGATCCAGATCGTGAACTCGCGGTGAGTGACGCGGCACTACGTATGTACGTGCCCTCTGAGAGCCTGGCGCAGGGACCACCCGTTGTCGCTGTACGTCTTCACGCAGGACGCGGCCTTCAAGGAGAACGTCTTCAGCAGGACACAGAGTGGCGCGGCACTCGCGAACGAGGTGCTCGTGCACGTCGGAGGCACGTCCTCTTCTCCTCTCCCCTAGCTTTTGTCTTGTCTGACCCTGGGTCTCACCAGCGACGGGCCTGCCCTTCGGCGGCATCGGTCCCAGCGGCTGTAAGCGCCAATTTTCCACTCTCGCGACATGAGCCGCCGAGAAGCGCGTGCTGACCTCCCCCATTCTGAACCCCCCTCAGCGGGCTCGCTCACGGGCAAGCACGGCTTCGACGCGTTCACGCACCTGCGCTCGACGCTCGACAACCCCAAGTGGGTCGACGCCATCATGAAGGGGCGCTACCCGCCGTACACCGTGCGTGTCTCTTCTTCCTCCCTCCTCCTTCTCCCGCTGCCTTCATTTTGCATGCGCCCCTCCTACCTTTTTGCTGACGCGCCCACTCCCCCCGACGCTCCAGCCCGAAAAACTCGCGCGGCTGCGGACAGCGCTCAAGGTGCGCATGCCGCCGCGCCCCGGCGGTGCCCGCCCGGCGCAGAAGAGGTGGGGACTCTGGCTCGTGCTCGCCCTCACGGGCCTCGTCTCCGCTGTGCTCATCCGGCCTCGTGGCAGTGCGTAAGCCGTATGTGTGGGTCTGGACGCGCGGGCCGGCTGAGGTTGCTTTCTTGTCTGTCTCTGGTGCGGGTTGGCGTGGATATAGATGTGTGTATGTTGTGGGACTCTTGGATACATCCTGTGTCGAGTTATTGTACCTACGCCTGTAATTTCAAGTGTCTCAAAAAAAATGCGCGTCGCCGTCGTCCACAAACCTCATCATTCTCGTCTTTCACGTTTCTACAACCAAGGTGTGCACCAAGAGAGGGTGTGTCCGCGGGGTCGTTAATTGCAAGATCATATGTATGGTATGGTATGGCAGCACTACTTATAATAATAATAATGCATGGAAGAAAAAAGCGTAAAAGCTTGCTGCAGAAAGCGAAACGGATGCTCGACGGAGGATGTTATAATGTATGGTGTCAAAAACAGAGACTCGTAAGAACGAGGCGCAGGTAGGACTCTAGGAATAAAGATAGGGAGCGAGCGAGGGGTAGCGTACTATACCTAAGATGAAGAAGATAGGTAGGCGGTAGCGGAAGGGGGGTTCGAAACAAGATGATTAGGCACGGCGGCAGAACGAAGGGTGATGGTGGCAGTGGAGGGACAGAAGGCAGGCAGGGAGGTGGGCAGATGGGCGGGTGGGTTCAGAGCGCCTCGCCAATGAGGCCGTACTCGCTGCTCGCAGCGCTGTCCTGGCGGCCGAACGTCGCGAGGCTCGGCTCGCGCTCCAGGCGGGGCCGCAGCTCGGCGCCGACGTGCGGGTGGAGGAGGCTCGTCGCGGACACGGCCGCGGACGACGACGACGGCAGGACCGTCGGCGGCGCGGGAAAGTCCGACAGCCCGGACATGCGCGACGTGTCCGTGTTCGAGGTCATGTAGCTCGAGCGCGTGTTCGGCGTGAGTGGCGAGGGGAGCGTCGAGCGCGGCGAGGGCACGAGCAGCAGGCGCGGCTCGGCGGGCTCGCTGTCGCGCCGGAAGTAGGCGGCGGCAGCGGCGGCGATACCACGCTCGTCCTCTGGCTCGCCGGGCGCGCTGTGCTCGATGAGCGAGATGATTTGCGACTGCCGCTGAGGCGTGAAAATCACGGGCGGGGTAGAGACCGCTTCTATCGATCCGACGCGCAGCCGTTCTGGAGCAGCAAGAGTCAGAAAAAAAAAGCAAGAACAGCGAAGATCGGCGCGGCAAAACAAACTCACCTTGAGGGTTCTCCTCAGCGTGCAGAGGAGACTGCTCAAAAACGCTGGACGCCCTCGACGACTCGACGTCCTCGGGTATGTCCGTCGCAGGCGCGACGACGAAGGACGTGTCGATCGGCAGGCGCACGGGCGAGTCGTACCCGTTCCGGGTGTCCGTCGAGCTCGTCGGCGACGTGAAGCGCGCCAGCACGACACCGGGCGCTTCGTTGGACAGGTCGTCCGTGCGGGGCGGGCCCCGGAGTCGGCTCCACATCCGCGGCTCCTCGAACGAGAGGTCATCCTCCTGCGAGCCGCCGCCGTACGCGTGCCGCAAGTCCTCGAGGTCTTCGCTCAGCTGGCGGGCGAGGGTCGAGAACCCGCTGCGCGTGCTGCGGGACGAGACGTCGAACGGGATGCTGCCGCTGGGCCGGCGCGAGCCCGCGCCGCCGCCGCCACCTCCACCTTCACCTCCACCTCCACCTCCA